CCGCACCCACCGCTCACCCGCCGGCCGCTTCCTGCTCCCCCAAACTGCTGACACCCCCAAAACGGGGCTGCCCCAGCCCTTCCTCATCCCGTGAGCTCCCACGTGAGCCCGGGGGATGGTGGCTCCGCTGCCACCCCTCGGTCCCCACCGAGCCACCGCCCCCTGCTGCTGGGGACGAGGGGGACGCTGGCAGGAGCCCGGGCTGGCTGCGCTCGGGGACACCGGGGACACAGGGGACACCGGGGACAGGGTGTCCTCCCCCCGCCACGGCCCCGAGGGACGCAGCTCCCCCTCATTCCCAACGCCGTGGGAATGAGGCAGCTCCTTGGTGCCAGCTGGGGACACCGCGGCGGGGACACAGGCTGGGGACAGGGGCTGGTCCTGCTGGGAAACCCCGGCGTGACACGGGCAGGGACGGCAGCAGGGCCGGGGAGGGTTGAACCCAGCGAGGGGACCCCGAGCCCATCCCTGCTGCCAGGGGCTGACCGTCCCCTCCAGGTCCCCTCCAGGTCCCCTCCAGCCCACCAAGTGACACCTCTCGATGTCGCAGCCCCGCTGGCGATGCGAGGAGCAGCCCCCTTCACCGCAGCCCCCCTCGGGGTGCCAATGCCCCCTGCCCAGACCCCCGCTCACCTCCCGGTGCCCGTGCCCGGCGCGGAGCCTGCGGCGCCGGCGCTGCCTCGGTGCCTCCTCCCCGCGGCTCCCAGCGCCGGCCTCCGCTCACAGATAAATATTTAACGCGCAGCCCGGGCCGGGATTAACAAAGGGCGAGTGTTTCCTGTTTGCTCGGCGCGGCGATGCCAGCCGGGAGTGCGCGGCCGCCCCGGGGATGCTCCCGGGGATGCTCCGGGGGATGCTCCCGGGGATGCTCCCGGGATGTGCCGGGAGCCCCCCGGGTCGGGAGCGCTGCCGGGGGCCGGGGGCTCCCCGGTTTGGGTGGGAACACCCAGGAAAAGGGTGGGAGAGCCGCAGCGTCCTGCCCGGGCGTGCCCCGGGTGCATCCGGCGGCCGGGAGCGGGGATGCTGCGGCAGGAGCAGGTGGGAAACGGGAGCACGTGCTGAGCCCAGCTCGAGGAATTCCCCAAGGAATTCCACAAGGAATTCCTGCTGCCATGGGGAGGATGGCCTGGAGTCCTCCAGAGCTCATCCTGAATATCTGGCTGCCAGCTGGGAAGAGGGGATGGATCCCAGGCGTGGAAGCCACAGCAGCTTCCTGGGGATCCATGGGCAGGATCCACGGAACTGCGACCCTCTGGATCCACGTGGATGGATCCCGACCCCGGGGCTGCTCCCTGGATCCTCCCTGTGGAGGGAACACCCCCAAAAGTGACAAGGAAGGAGCCGGGGTGGAACAAGAGCTGGCACATCCCGTCCTGTCGCTGCTGGCACGGCGTTATTTACCCAGGGACGGCCGAGCAGCAGGAGCTGAGAGCTCTCCAGAGCCAGCCGGGAGCGTGTGCCAACGTGCCAGGGCACTGCCCCAGCCCTGGAGAGGCTCTAAAATCCCCCAAATCCTTCTGGCAGCACAGAACCCCCCTCAGCCCCCCAAAAAATCACAGCAGAGCGCAGTGACTGTGTCAATTTTTAACTTTTTTTTTCTTTTTTTTTTCCTCCTTAAAGATGACTCCGATTTACATCGAGACAGTTCTAACAAATTCATTCCTTGTTTCACAAAAAAAAAAAAAAAAAATTATATTAAATAATTTCTGCCAATAAATAACATTTTCACCATTTTTTTTCTCCTTTCAACCGAACTAAAAAAAAAAAAAAAAAGAAATTATATTAAATAATTTCTGCCAATAAATAACATTTTCACCATTTTTTTTCTCCTTTCAACCGAACTAAAAAAAAAAAAAAAGCAAGAAATAAAAATAAAAATTAAAAAGGAGGCAGTCTCCAGGCAACGGGCGTATGATCCTTCAGCATCGAGAACCCTAAAATCACCATCACTGCACCCCTGGAGGGCTTCAGGTCCTCCCTGGCCGAGGTTTGGTGGGATCTGCATCCCTGCCAGCTCCCCTGGCCAGGTGGGATCTGTGCCAGAGGCAGCCAGAGGGGTTCTCCCAATCCCAAAAAGAAAATTAAGCTTGAACTCAACCCACCACCCGCCCCATTGCCGACTCCCCTCCTTGGACATGCACCTTGCTAGAACATGCAAAAAAACCCAGGCTGCAGGGAGGTGGGGGCTTTCCCTGGATCTGGGGGCTCCCCCGGGGCGGGGGCTCCCCTCAATCCCGGTTGTCCAAGCTCCAGGTGGCAGCCGGGGACGGGAAGGGACGGGCGGGAGCTCGGAGAGGAGGGGTCAGAGACAAGCCCAGCCCCGAGGCGCTGGATTTGTGGGGGAAAAGGAGGAAAAGGGGCGATTTGGGGGCGTTTCTGGATCGTTTTTTTGGTTTGCCGTGGTGGGGATCGGGGCAGGGAATTCTGCCCCGAAGTTGTCCCCAAAAAAAGGGGAGGGGGGATCTCGGCTGGGGCTGTGGCGGGGAAGCCCTGCAGGGAGAGGGGGCGTTAATTGAGGGGGTAATTAGCACCCAGAGCCCCATCGCTGCTCCTCACCCCCTCGGGAACTGCTTCAAAGGGAGGAGAGGACCTGGCAGTGGGACATCCACACGTGCCGGTGCCACAGGGACACGGGGGCAACTTCCAGCCCTGGCCACCACCTCTGGGGCTGGGGCAACCAACTTCCATCCCTGGCCACCATCTCTGGGGCTGGGGCAACCAACTTCCAGCCCTGGGACCACCTCTGGGGCTGGGGCAACCAACATCCAGCCCTTGGCCACCATCTCCAGGCTGGGATGGTGCAGCTCCACCAGCCCCAGGGATAAGGGGGGACAAAATCCCACCCCTTGGCCACCTTCTCCAGGACAACCACCATCCAGCCCTTTTCCAGGGCTGGGACACTGGGAAGCTGCAGCTCCAGCAGCCCCAAGGATTAGGGGGTTGGATCTGAGCCCCCAAACCACGAAGCACAAGGTCCAAAAAGGATTTTGGGGAGGGGGAGTTGGTGATGCCAGAGCAGGAGAAGAGGGTGGGGGGACAAACTGCCAGCAAAGCAAATCCCCCTCTGCGATGGGCCGGGCCCTGCTGACCCCCCCACGCTGGGAGCAGGGGGGTGCCAGGCTCGGGGTCCCGCAATTCCCATCCCAAAGATCCCGACTAAAACCTGGCAGCTGCTTGGGTGAGATCCCAGCCTGGGTCAGCACAACACGCCCGAACATGCACGGGCAGCCCCGGGCACGGCCCGTGTGCCCGGGTACCACACACGGGCTCACCGCGCTCACAGGAGGCCCTGAAGGACAAAGAAATACTCACAGACAAAAGGCAATTTGGCCCCACTCCTCGGACTGGGGGGAGAGAAGCTCGCTCCAAACATCTCGCACTTTTGCAAAGCGGTGGGCGTGGAAAAAAAAACGGGATCAAAGGGGAAAAAAAACAACCAAAAAGAAGAAAAAAAACAAAGAGGAAAAAAATAAAGAGGGGAAAGTGGAGGCATGTGACTGAAAAGTGTGGAAACCCAGAGGTCTGCTCGCAGAATCCTAAACAGCCCCGTGGGATTAGGTGACGTGTGAGCCTAAGACAATCTGAAAGCTTCCTGGGAAGTTGCTGTTTTCCTCCGGCGCTGGAATCGCCGAGGCAAGACAGCAAGATGCAGGGAAAGCCTTGGCAAAGATCCCCTGGGAGAGCTCAGCCCTGCCTGCAGAGAGCACGGGGAAGGGGGAGAGGGAAGGCTGGAGGGGTGCTCCAGGAGCTGCTGCCTCGGCTCCAGGCCATGCCCACGGCTGGGAAGGGAAGTGACCCACGGGAATCCCCCAAAACCCTTCCCCAGCACTCCCAGATTTAGTGAAAGAAGGCTCAGAGTGACACAATGCTCAGCTCCCACTCCAAAATCCCTGACAACACCCAGGGGAAGCCCCAGGATCCCTGTCCAGAACACCCTGCCAAAATTCCTGCCAGATCCCCTCGGTTCTGCCTTCCAAGCCCCCCCTGCTCCCCATGCAGGGGCTGCCCTGCCACCAGCACCGAGCCACATCTCCCAAAACCAGCAGTGCCACACCCATCTTATCCCAGAGTTTTATCAGCAACCCCCTGCTCCAGCTGCCGGGAAAGGCTGAGCTGCCCCTGGCTCCTGTGGAGCAGCCGAGGGTGGGTGATGGGGGACAGGGAGGTGACACTGGGGGGACCACCCTGTCCCCCACACCCCAAACTGCTCAGCAGGGGCTGATTCCGGAGCTGGGAGCAGGGAATGTGCCGTGGGCTGGGCGCTGTGCTGGTGGGGAATGGGGGAGCTGCATCCTCCGGGGTGTAAATCACCCCCTCTTCCTCCAAAACTCAGGCCCTGCAGCTTTCCCAAGGATCAGCAAAGCAGAGATAATTCCTCTGCTCTGAATCAGAGGGATTCCCAAGGGAATTCTGCTGCACAAACCGCTCCAAGAAGAAGAGCCACAACAAGGGGCAGCACTTCCCCCACCTTCTCCCTGTTTTCCTTTGGGACTCCCCTGGGATAAAGCTGAAATCCTGAAGGAAAAGGTGCTGGGATTGGTGTGAACAACCCTGGAGCCCTTTGGAGCCACCCCTGGCTGTCACCTTGGAAAAGAGGGATGGACCCCAGCAATCTGCCTTCCAGGGAACTGGTTGCTAAAGCAGCAGCTGCAGGTAGGCAAGAGGTGGAAGAAAACAACAGGAAAAATCTGGGAAGAAAACAGGTGTGTAAAGGAAAACCAACCCAACCGTATCCTGAAGGGAAGGACCTGCTTTGGAAAGCTCAGGCTAACTCCAAACTGTGCCAAAGCCAACGACCCAAGTTGCCTGGTTTGACTGATTTTTGTTTTTTAATCCAGCCCCTCCCTGGCAGAGGTTTGGCCTCTTGGTGGGGGGAAAGCTGGACAGCACAACACTCCCGGGATGCTCTAGCAGTTGGATTGGTTTCTAAATTAAAAAAAAAAAAAAGGACATTTTTATATATATTGAACATAAATAAAAAAAAAAAAATTACAAAATGGTCGCTTTCTTACAGAACGGATGCGGACTGGATTTATGGACGTGCCTCCAGGTGAAGTTGGTTTCTCCCCCTGCCCCCACCCCACCCCCATAATAAATAAATAAAATTCATGAAGTTTTGGATCCTCTGGCGCTGCAGCCCCGGGCGCTGGCAGCGTTACTGGGGTTTCTTGCCCGTGCCGTTCTTGTCCGCAGAGTTCGAGGTTACCAAGTTCACGGGGCCGTCCGAGTGCAGCGAATCCTTGCGCGGCGGCATGCGCTCGTTGATGCGGTCCAGCCCCCGCGCCTCCTCGAAGCTGCGGATCTTGTGCTGCGGGGAGAAGCCGCGGATGGCTGCGGAGGGAAGCGAGCACAGGGAGGAGCCGTCAGCAGCAGCGTTGCCCCGGGAGCCCTCCAGCACACGCCAGACACCGACGGGGACACGGGGCGGGGACAGAAAGCACCTGCCGGGATCTGGGGATGCTTGGGTGGGGGGTTTGGTGTTTTGGTGCTGCCAGCTCGTGGTCGGGAGCGGCTGGCAGCAAAGTTTGGGATTTGCTCTGCTCCTTAAGAGGAGGTTCTTTTTAGGGAGGTCTGGGATTCACTCTGCTCCCTAAGAGGAGGTTCTTCTTTTGAGGGAAATTTAGGATTTGCTCTGCTCCTTAAGAGGAGGTTCTTCTTTTTAGGGAAATTTAGGATTTGCCCTGCTCTCTAAGAGGAGGTTCTTTTTTTTAGGGAGGTTTGGGATTTGCTCTGCTCCCTAAGAGGAGGTTAGGAGGTTCATTTTTTTAGGGAGGTTTGGGATTTGCTCTGCTCCCTGAGAGGAGGTTCTACTTTTTTAGAGAGATTTAGGTTTTGGTCTGCTCCCTAAGAGGAGATTCTATTTTTTTAGGAAGGTTGAGGATTCACTCTGCTCCCTAAGAGGAGGCTCTTTTTTTTTTCGGGAGATTTGGGATTCACTCTGCTCCCTAAGTCCCTAAGATGAGGTTCTTTTTTTTAGGGAGGTTTAGGATTTGCTCTGCTCCCTGAGAGGAGGTTCTACTTTTTTAGAGAGATTTAGGTTTTGCTCTGCTCTCTAAGAGGAGGCTCTTTTTTTTCGGGAGGTTTGGGATTCACTCTGCTCCTTAAGTCCCTAAGATGAGGTTCTTTTTTTTAGGGAGGTTTAGGATTTGCTCTGCTCCCTAGGAGGTTTAGGATTTGCTCTGCTCCCTCAGAGGAGGTTCTATTTTTTTAGGAAGGTTTAGGATTTGCTCTGCTCCCTAAGAGGTTTAGGATTTGCTCTGCTCCCTAAGAGGAGGCTCTTTTTTTTAGGGAGGTTTAGGATTTGCCCTGCTCTCTAAGAGGAGGTTCTTTTTTTTAGGGAGGTTTAGGATTTGCTCTGCTCCCTAAGAGGAGGTTCTTTTTCTTTAAGAGAGGTTTAGGATTTGCTCTGTTCCCTAAGTCCCTGAAAGGAGGTTCTTCTTTTTAGAGAGGTTTAGGATTTTTTCTGCTCCCTAAGAGCAGGTTAGGAGGTTCATTTTTTTAGGGAGGTTTAGGATTTGCCCTGCTCTCTAAGAAGAGGTTCTTTTTCTTTAAGAGAGGTTCAGGATTTTCTCTGCTCCCTAAGAGAAGGTTCTTCTTTTTAGGGACATTTAGGATTTGCTCTGCTCCCTGCGAGGAGGTTCTATTTTTTAGGGAGGTTTAGGATTTGCTCTGCTCCCTAAGAGCTTTTCATGGAAGCAAGCAATGGTTTGGACTGGGAGATTAAAATCATCCAGTTCCACAATCCCAGGTTGAACCTTGGACACTTCTAGGGATGGGGCAGCCACAGGTTTTCTGGAAATTCCATCCCACGACCCTCATAGGGAAGAATTTCCTCCCAATATCCCAAACCTCCCCCTCTTTTAATAGAATAGGAGGAACTTGATAAACCAGACAAGTGCTTGCTGTCCCCAGAGAGTGAAATCTCAGGAAAATTTCAAAGCTGAAAAACACGACACTAAAAAATAACAATTAAAAAGAAAATAAAAATTAAAAAAAAAAGGCAAAACCCAGAAGGACAGAACAAAGACACCACCACAAGGCTCTGAACTCCGACACAAACCACACACTGCAACACCAGGAGAGGGAACAGCTAGTCCTTGGATCACAAAGGCAAAATTCTTGCATGACCAGGAGACACACGGGCAGATCTGGGAGGGATGAATCCCACTGAGGAATTTCATGTCCCTGCTCCGTCACCGCGGGGACGAGCACGTCACCCTCGCCCTGATGACACGGACCAAATGTGAAACTCCTTTGTGCTACGGAGAATTTAAGGAAAAGGAGCCCGTGCCAAATCTTTTACAAGGACTTGGCTGGCTCACAAACAACTTCCCTTGGTAAGCAAAGCCTCTGTAGAGCAGCATCGAGGAAAAATCCTCACGGATCTGTCATTCCTACACCCTACAAGCAGAGAATTCCCTCTCCACCTTGGCCTACCTGTGGGGAAGGCAGGGATTGCACCAGCACCACAAAATCCTGTTTTCTAAGGGTTTTGATGGTGCTGGCAGATTGCAGGACCTCAACCCCAAGGTCTCGAGCCGCCGCAGCAGGAACCGCTCCGGCAGCTCCAAATAAAGGTGTTCCACTAAGGAATAAACTGCTCAAGCTCAAACAGCCTTGAACCAAACCCCTGGGTATTTTTTCCTTCCCAGCAGGGCCTCGTCCTCCCCCACTTCTGGTGATGCAAGAGTAAAAAGCTTCCGTTAAGGGCTGGTAAAGCTCTTTAAAATGAGCGCACGCACACACGGAGATGATTTGAGTCTCTCGCCGGGTTCTAGCCATACCTTCCCGTGCCTCTACCGCTTCTACTGTGGCTGCAATACAGAAGAACAGTGGCATGCAGAAATGAAGACAGGGAAAAAAAAAAACAAAAAACAAAACAAATAAAACAAAAAACAGAAAAAAAAAAAGGAAACAAAAACAGAGTGACAGTGAGTGATCCGACATCATGGCTGCGACGCAGAGCCCGCGGCCCCCCAGCCCCGGTGGTGCCAAACGAGTGGCAAGAGGGGAGAAAAAGGTGACAGGAGGTGGAGAGGAAGGGGAGAAGGGGACTCCCAAGGGCTCAGGGGGAGTCTCCTTTCCTCTGGATTGATCTGATGGAAGAACAGAGGAGCAGAGAGTGGGGGCTGTGTGCACTGGACAGGGACGAGCTCGGACTAAGCTGTGGCTCTGATCCCAGCTGGTGGCTCCAGGCCACCTCCAGATGATCTGTAATGTGCAATTCACCCTCCATACATGGGAGGGATCCCAGGGGATGTTTTGGAGCAGTGGGAAGGAGAGGGGCAGCCTGTTGTCCAGGGAAGGACAAGCAGCAGGTGCTGGGCTGCTCTGCTCCTGGTGCCTTGAGCTGTAACAGAAAATCAGGCTCCAAACCCAGTTTGGCTTCAGCTCCTCCTCCCGAAAGTGTTACCAAGCAACGAGGCACCACAGAGCTGAGCAATGTCCCCCTTCCTAAATCTGCTGCAGCAACATCCAAGGTTTGGTAGGCCCTGCCTCAACATCTGGAAGGACGCCCTTCCCTTGAGCAGATTCTCTGGATTTTAGCCTCAAAACTGCAGCTTTTTTCACTTTGGACACAATACAGAGGCCACGTGGTCCTCGGGAGGCCGCGGAGGAAGGATGGAGCTGGGGCTGCACAGCTCTGCCCCAGATTCCGTGACTTTGTTCGGTTGGTTTTGCCAAGCCCTGCTGTGAAAGGCTGGGGAGAGGCTCAGGAGGGCAGGGCCCCCTCACTGCAGCCCTGTTTCCCTTTTTTGAGGTGCACAGGCACCCCAAAAGGGCGGCAGCCCCCCCTCCTCCTCACCCAGCAGACGGGGCTCCCATAAATTCACCGGGAGTGTGAAGGGATGTGCGAAACGGGAAAGGGTGGGAGGATGGGGAAAAGGGGGAGGGAAAGGGGGGTGGAGAAGGGGGAAGGACAGGGAAAGGAGAGTGGGAGAAGGAGGAAGGACAGGGAAAGGGGGGTGAGGAGGGCAGGAGAAGCTGGGAGATGCCAGGGAGCGGGGGGAGCCTGCAGGCGGCGGGCGGGGCGGGTAAGGCAGCAGCAAAGGCCCAGCTTGTTTGTTCTGTCCTGGGGAGAGGCTTTTTTGGGGGAGGGGAGATCCCTGGTACCCCTGAGAGAACCCCCTGAGAGGGGAAGGTGCTGGAGAACGTCACAGCATGACCCGTGCTGTCGGGATACAGGGACAGAGCTGCTGCAACAGCCACCTTCCCACTCAGGCTCTGTTCCCAGAACTGGGGCGACGGGGCTGCGATGGTTTCTATAAAAAAAGGGAAAAAATATCCATCCTCCTCTGTGGGCAGAGAAATCCGTGAGCTTGGGAGTGATGCTGCATCCTCCCCGGCAGCAGGCAGTGATATTTGCACGTTTCTGACTCGTGAACTGTTTAATCCAGGCAAACCCCAGCCCCAGCCCGGGGAGGGCTGCAGGAAATCCCCGGTGCCCATGGAAGGGGGAAGCTGGGCAGGTGCCAGGCTTCAAAGGCCGATGGCAGGGGAGGATTAACACACTGGATTACAGGATTCCCCCTGGGATAGCTCATTCCCTGAGCACCAGCCAACATCCTTGCCCTGGGTGTGGGAAGGATCGGATCCTTCGCTCCGCGCTGCTCCCTGAGCTGCTGAGGAAGGCAGCAAATTTGGGAAGAAACCTCCACAACTACCCCAAAACCTGAGAGGAGACTTTTCTGAACCATCCAGCCCTGGAGGAACCTCGTTCCTTTGGCTGGAGCTTCCTCCTGTTTGGGATTCATGACTTGACAGGGGCAGACTGGGAGGGGTCTGGTTGAACGAAGAACAAACAAGCAGCTGTGTCACTGTCACATTCACACAGAGCCGTGTCACTGTCACATCCACACAGAGGCTGTCACACAGCAGCAGCACAGCGAGGTGAGGCAGAGGATGTGCACCATGCAGCGTTAGAAGGGAAATAAAGGATAAAAACTTGCTGCAGAAACAAACAATTAAGCACTAAACATGCTGTAGGCAGGGTGCTGTGGGTTTTCTTCCTCGAGGGCACACGGGGACATCTTGGCATCTCTCCACACCCCCATCTACACCTCTGCTTACTCCTGCTTGGGAATCCTTCCTCCCCACGGGCCTGAACCCTGGCTGGGGTCCCCTGGCACCCTCCAGGCCCCCGTGGGGGCTGCTGCAGGGGCTCTGGGGCAGGGGGAGGGCAGGGGGTCAGGGATACTCACCGGTCTGCAGGGTCTGCCTCCCCCCCGAGAGCACTCCCAGGGGCAGGGTACCTGTGGGGGTCAGGCCTTTGAGGGTCAGCACGCTCTCGCTCTCCTCCCTGCAGGAAGAGCAGCACCAGTTACACACTGAGCAGGCACTGCTGCCTGGTGTGGGAGGCATGGATCATGAGAATCATGGAGCCATGGGATCATTAAGGCTGGGAAAGACTTCTGAGGTCACCAAGCCCAATCATCAACCCAGCACCACCACTGCCCACGTCCCCAGGTGCCACATCCACGCATCTGTTAAACCTCTCAGGGATGGGGACTCCACCACAGCCCTGGACAGCCCATTCCAGTACTTGGTAACCCTTTTCGTGCAGAAATTTCCCTTAATATCCAACCTGAACCTCCCCTGCTGCAGCTTGAGGTCGTTTCCTCCCATATGCCACTCGTTATTTGGGAGAAATGACCAACCCCTACCTGGCTACAACTTTCTTTCAGGCAAACATGTCCTGAAAGAGCCATGAAAAACCACCTGCTTTATGAAGTTTTTCCCTTCTTTTTTTTTCCTAACCAGTGTTCCCCATTACCCAGTCCCCAAATTAAACTCTGTCCCAAAATTAAGCCGAGTCTCCAAATTAAACTCAGTCCCCAAATGAAGCCCAGTGCCCAAATGAAGCCCAGTGCCCAAATGAAGCCCAGTCCTCGAATTAAGTCCAGTCCCTGAATTAAGCCCAGTGCCCAAAGGAAGCCCTGTCTCCAAATTAAGCCCAGTCCCCAATTTAGGCCCAGTCCCCAAATGAAGCCCAGTCCCCAGTTAAGCCCAGTCCCCATAGGAAGCCCAGTCCCCAGTTAAGGCCAGTCCCCAATTAAGCCCAGTCCCTGAATTAAGCCCAGTCCCCAGTTAAGCCCAGTCCCCATGCCATGCTCACCGAAGAACCGAGAAGACCCGTGCCATCTTCCCAATGGCTCTGATCTTATTCCTGATGATCTCCTTGCGCACCGTTGTCCCACCTTGGGGAGAGAAAAGAGCAAAGAGCAGCACGTTGGAGGGTTCCTGCTCTCCAGGGAAGGTCAGGATGAAGCACCTGCCTGACTCCAGGAAAAGAAATCATGGTTTTTACAGATTCACAGGAGAGAGAACGGTGCTGGAAGGATGGCATCAGGATGGCATCAGGATGGCACCAGGATGGCGGTGAGGAGGGCAACACCAACGAGATGGCACACGGAACTCGAGAGGGCTAAAGAGAGTAGAACCACCACAGGACACGGAGTCGGGGAGGTCTGGCTGGCAGGTCACCAGCTGGGCCCACACTGCACAGGATGGGACACAAATGACTCAGCCATGAGGACACGGTTTGCAAGGCAGAGCACGGAGGGGGCTGACGGCTGATGGGCACCGCTGGGCTCGCCCGCAGCGGCACGCAAGCATCAGCTTTGGCATCCAAGGAGCACAGGGAAGGGCTGGCCCGAGCCTGGCAGCTCTGCTCTGACCCCACACGGACACAACGGGACGGGGGGGAGCTCCCCTTCCGCCCTACGGACCCAACGGGAGAGAGAAACAAAAAAAGCACGGAGGGAGCTGAAACCAAAGGGAAAATTCAGGTCGAAAGAGGGAACAAATCCATCTCCTCTCAGCTGAGATTCCTCACATGGCCCAGTACACGTCAGGACAGGGAAGCCAAACCCAGGGCTAACATGCACCATGGCTCAGCCATGCACTACGTGGCTGCATTCAGAATCAGGTAGAAACGTGACCCCCGTTTCTCAAAGTTCCTGGAGGAACGCAGAAGGGTTAAAAAACACATGGAGCTTATGTTAAAACTGAAAGGGGATGAAGAGACTGCCCCACTAGTCAGCTCTGGAAATCCACTTCAAGGATCTGGTGGCACAGGCAGTGATAATTAAGCTCGTAGCAAATTCTAGCCGGGTACCTTTCGGATAGCTTGAAATGTAGTGATCTTCAGGGAGAGGAGACACCAAGAAACAAGTAGATGAAGACAGAGATAGAAGAAACAAATTTAATTTTCATGGGAGGGAGGAAAGAAAAAACCAAAAAAACCAAAAAACAAAACGGAAATGCAATGGGATAAGCGGGTTAGAGTCTCCACCTGGGGCCGAGGCAGCTCAGGCCCCACTTCTTGCTGCCCCCCTCAGCTTCCTCAGGTCACCACCTCACTCCTGAGTCCCCCCAAAATCCAAACTGCTCGTCAGCTCAATCACTGATTTGTCCCCTTCATGCATGGCTTAAAACCAGGGCCAAAACCAGCGTTTTTGGTGAGGGGGGTGACACGAGAAGCCGCTTTACAGACGAGTTCACTGCAACAGATGAGAAGACTGGGTGAATAATTTGGTGCAGAAAATTTTGAATTGGGGGAAAAAATAACCAGCAGCCTGTGTAAGGAGCAGGAAACCATTCCCAGAGTAGCTGGCAAGAAGTGTCTGTCGCAGTGAATGTCATTTAATTTCTCTGTGACTGAACAGCAAAGGAGAAAAAAAAAAAATACCATTCCCTACCCAAAACTGCAAAGGCTGGGCAAAAAGGAACTGGAGACCCTGGCTGGGTATCCAGCTATAAATCAAGTGCTGCTCAGGCATGAAAGGCCTTGCCCAGCCTCTCCCCCCGCTGCTCTCTGCTGCCAGCAGGGATATTTTACCTTCCAACGTCTCGTCGCCATCCGAAATCAGCTCGTCGTCGGAGCAGATGTTGAGGATGTTCACGAGCATCTCGGTGACTGCAAGAGGCACAGACAGAGAGGTCAGAGAGGCCTGGGCATGCAGAGGGATCTGGAGGACGAGGGAAGGATTTCAAGGTCGTCTGTCCCCTGCAAGTGGGAGCCTGAAGACACTTTTAGGCGCAGCCTGCTGGTACCCGCAGCGGCGCCCGAGCAGACGACACACGTTGCATCTTCTGCCAAGGAGGTGGATGCAGGCCAAGCACATCACAGAGGAACCAGACGTGGAGAAGGAGGTGCCAACATTCCTGCAGAACAGCCTGAGCTCCCTCAAGGTTCCCCCTCCCCATCCTCACCCACGCCACAGCCACCTGGCTCCGAGAAGGGCCAAATTTGGGGAGGGGGGGATTCGACCTTTGGTGCCTCAAAGTCAAAAAACCCTTTGGAAGGGGTGAGGGTGGAGGTGCACTCTGAACAGACAAGACTGGGGTGGAATTTAAGCTCATCAGGAAAGGTAAAAATTCTTTTGGTGAAAAGCTGAGGCAAAGTCTTGGTCATATTTTAAGCTGCCTCGCCATCTTCAGAAACGAAATAAGCCTTGGATTGAAGTGAATGCTTCCCTTTTGGTGGGCCAGGAGCCAGCAGGAATTTAAAATTCCTGTTGCAAACCAAGAGAAACATGTCCAAATTCTGAGGTGGGACTACAGCACCCAAGATCAGCCCCACCAGCAATGCAGAAAGAGCAAGAAAGGAGTGTTTTACTGGTAAAAGCTTTTTCAAACAGCTATCAACAGCTGTTTCTGCAGGAATTTAACCCAGTAATGAAGATCTCCTTGAGCCTGAACTGCTCTCCTGTGCTACCTGGAGCTGCAAAACCCTCCCAGCACCGTGGGACAGGTTTGTGACACTCAGGATATGAGGAGCAGTCACTGGGAATCTGGAACAGAAACCCAAATCTCTCTTACCCTTTTCCCCTACAAAAGGCAAAGACCATGTGAAGACATCCATGAAGTTTGGAAGCCAGTAGGGGTGAGGGGAACAGTTGAACTGCCTGATGTTCATGACGTTGTTTTCATATTTCAGTACAGCAGCTGGGGGAGAAAAGGGAAAGGGAATAAATGTCCATGGGCATTTCCACCTACAGAACCCTGGAATGGGCTGCATTTCAAGGGATCTTGAGGAGCAGCCAGCACCACTCCCTGCAGGGACACCCTCCCTGGGTGCTCCAAGCCCCCCAGCCTGGCCTTGGACACTTCCACGGATCTAGGAGCAGCCACAGCTTCTCTGGGAATTCCATCCCAGCCCCTCCCCACCCTCACAGCCAGGAATTCCTTCCCAATCTCCCATCCATCCCTGCCCTCTGGCAGTGGGAGCCATTCCCTGTGTCCTGTCCCTCCACCCCTTGTCCCCAGTCCCTGTCCAGCTCTCCTGGAGCCCCTCTAGGCTCTGGCAGGAGCTCTTAAAGTCTCCCTGGAGCCTTTTCCTCTTTCACCCCCAGCTCTCCCAGCCTGGCTCCCTCTGGAAGTTTTCCCAGTGTTAAAAACCCTTCATTATCAACACCCCATTACACTCGTGTAGCATCAAGCCACCAAGTCTCCAAAATGAGAAAGTTTAAAACCATAATTTTTTTGTTTACTCAGGTTGGTTCTCAGCTTAAAACAGCGAAGCTCAAACAGAACCAAGATTCAAAGTGAGGGGTGAAAAACCCCACAGCTGGAGAAAATCCCACCATGATCCCAGTGGTTTAGGGGCAGGGGAAGTGGAAAGCTTTCCTACACTATCAGCTTCTGTGGGATGGCAGCATCCATCAACAGGGCTCCATTCTCCTGTGGCTGGGCATGAAAGCTTTATTCCAGGCCTTATGACTCCACACTTAATTGCCACAGTAACACATTAAGTCAACCACTTCAGCTCAGCACACAAAGCTCTCTTTCATTCCAGGCACAAGAATGTGACTGGAGGAGAGGGTTTTGTAGCAAAAAGAGTGTGTTTTGTGTATCAAAACCAGTGTGGTGGCAGCTGCAGAAGGGCAGGGATTGTCCCTGTGCTGGGCTGTGCCCACTTCTGGTCCCTCACTGAGACTTGGAGGGGCTGGAGTGAATCCAGGGAAGGGAACAGAGCTGGGGAGGGGCTGGAGCCCCAGGAGAGGCTGAGGGAGCTGGGAAGGGGCTCAGCCTGGAGAAAAGGAGCTCAGGGGGGACCTTGTGGCTCTGCACAGCTCCTGCCAGGAGGGGACAGCCGGGGGGTCGGGCTGTGCTCAGGGAACCAGGGAAGGGAACAGAGCTGGGGAGGGGCTGGAGCCCCAGGAGAGGCTGAGGGAGCTGGGAAGGGGCTCAGCCTGGAGAAAAGGAGCTCAGGGGGCCCTTGTGGCTCTGCACAGCTCCTGCCAGGAGGGGACAGCCGGGGGGTCGGGCTGTGCTCAGGGAACAGGGACAGGAGCAGTGGGAACAGCTCAGGCTGGGCCAGGGCAGCTCAGGGTGGGCACAGCAGGAATTTCTGCATGGAAAGGGGCTCAGGAACTGCCCAGGAAGGGTTGGAGTGCCCATCCCTGGAGGGGTCCAAGGAACAACTGGAAGTGACAGTGACAAGGGAGGGATCAGGCAAAGTTGGACTCAGTGGCTTGCAGCTCTTTTCCAATTAAATTATCCTGTGAATTTTGGGAGCACAGAGTGGGAGAGGGATTTCCTGACCCAGCCCCAGAGCAGCAGAGCCCTAGCCTTACCCTTGTTGTTATAGACATCTAAGTAATTTGGTGCAGAGAAGATTGTGATTAATGAGGGAAAGCCCGTGGTCTGGCTCTTCCTGTACATTCGGTACCTGCAAAACAGGGCAGGAGTTAAACCCGGCTTAGCAGAGCCCAAACCCCGCCCAGCCCAGCCCGAACCCCGCCCAGCCCCTGGGCTGCAGCACTCACCCAGCGTCCTGGGCTTCGTGAGCTCGGATTACGGATAACAAACTATTGTTCTGCAAAAATTCACACACTGCAGGATAACTGGAAAACAAAAAGGGAGGAGAACTCAGCTGCGAGCAAAGGAGAGCACAGAGCTCGATGGTGTTGGTTTCAGGGAGCAGCCACTTGCAGAAAACATCCAGTTTCAGTCCAGCACCCCAAAATTTGCTTTATTCCAAAATTCTTCAAATTATATACTTTTATTCAAAAATTAATTGCAAAGGGTTCTTTTAAACCCTTCCTGTAAGTGGACTGTCAGCACAAATCCTTCTTTTTTAGCAAGGAAAGAATATTTCCTAGAGAATATTTCCTAGCACCTATTTCCAGGTGCTGCAAACCACTCACAGCCCAAAGAAGCATCTCTGCTGCTTGAGATCCCAACTCTACAAAGTAACTTATCCAAAGACGGCTCAATATTCAAATTTATTCAAAGACAGCTCAATATCCAAAGAAGCAAAAAACAAACAAGAATTTGTGCATTAGAGCAAAGTGAAGAGAATTTCACATTCCGCAAAGCCCCACAGAGTGGCCTGAACAGTGATTTCAGTGTGAAGGGACAGAAATGCCCCCTGCACCACCCCTCACCTGTAGAAATAGGAGCAGCCTCGGACAGTGTTGTGGGCAAAATGCTCCAGGGTTTTCTCGTTGCCGTAATCCTCCGAGGGATCCGACCACAGCAGGTCACACATGGGACCAAAGGCTGGAGGCTCCTTGAACCTGTCTAACTGGAGAGGGGACACAACATCAGCAGGGGCTGTGGCAGGGCTCCTGTCAGCTGGGGCTGTGCACAAATCACCAACGGGACAGGACTGCCAGGAAGCCTCTGGAGCTGTTGTGTTTTCCAGCATCAGCCTCATTACATTGTTATGACAATGGGAAGATGTTATCAGCTCACATTTTAGGCAGCAGATAAAGAACTTAATGTACAAGTCACTCTAAAAGTTTTTTGACTAATCACTCAAAGCAAAAGCATACTGACAGTAGTTTTATCTAACCACTATAAGCACTTGTACTTCTGGTTAAAACAATGTTTGCTTATTTCAAATACAACACCTGCTTGTGAGTCTTAAAACACAACGTACAGAGCTCTATTATTAAGCTTACAACTTCCTAATATCTTGTTAGATATACTTTTCTGCAGCTTATGGATTTATTTTAGACAAACATTAATATACAGACTATTGTTCTATTTTTGTTTTTCTACTTTTTACGTAATTTTTCTGCTGACCAATCTTATGGCTACTGCTTAGCTCTAATCACAGTTCTGCTGTTTCTGAAGCCTGTCTTTTGCAGCTTTCTCAAAACCCTCTGATTTTATGGATTCCCATCCCCAAATCCACACAGAAGCAAGCCCCACGGGGAACTGGGACGGAAGGCAAAAGCTCCAGGAGCTGACTTACTTTCCTAATGTCATCTAGACACGTGATTTCTGGGGACAGGCCCCCGTGCACACACAGGAATTGCTGGTTGAGGAGGGCAGCGAGAGGAAGACAGTCAAAGGTGTCCATGCACGCGTCGTACACTCGCTCCGAGTACTTGATTCGACCTGCAGAGGAACCAGTCAAGCTCTGATCAGCCACGTGCTGATCAATAAACGCCAGGAACCCAGCTCCTAAAGGAATTAAAAGGGCTCACAAATCAAACTTTACAGCTGGTAGTGAAAATACTGACTTGGAATCAATTCTGCGCTTGTGTATTCGTGAAAATGCTGATTTAGAATCAACTCTGCACCTGGAATCAACTCTACACTTGTGTATTCATGAAATGCTGATTTAGAATCAACTCTGCACCTGTGTATTCCTGAAAATACTGATTTAAAATCAGCAGTGCATTCGTGAAAATACTGATTTGGACTCAAACTCTGTTCCTGTGTATTCCTAAAAACACTTACTTAAAATCACCTGTGTATTTGGAAAAATACTGACTTGGAATCAACTCTGCACCTGTGTATTCATGAAAATGCTGATTTAGAATCAACTCTGCACCTGGAATCAACTCTGCACTTTTGTATTCATGAAAATGCTGATTTAGATTAAAACTCTGCACCTGTGTATTCCTGAAAATACTGATTTAAAATCAGCAGTGCATTTGTAAAAATACTGATTTCGAATCAAATTTTGCATTTGTGTATTTGTGAAAATACTGACTTGGACTCAAACTCTGCACCTGTGCATTTGTGAAAATACTGATTTACATTAAAACTCTGCATCTGTGTATTCCTGAAAATACCGATTTAAAATCAGCAGTGCATTCGTGAAAATACTGACTTGGACTCAAACTCTGCACCTGTGCATTCATGAAAATGCTGATTTAGATTAAAACTCTGCTCCTGTGTATTCCTGAAAATACCGATTTAAAATCAGCAGTGCATTCGTGAAAATACTGACTTGGAATCAAATTCTGCACCTGTGTATTCCTAAAAACACTTATTTAAAATCACCTGTGCATTTGTGAAAATACTGACTTGGAATCAACTCTGCACCTGTGTATTCATGAAAACTGTGTATTTGTGAAAATACTGACTTGGAATCAAACTCTGCACCTGTGTATTCCTGAAAATACTGATTTACATTAAAACTCTGCATCTGTGTATTCCTGAAAATACTGATTTAAAATCAGCAGTGCATTCGTGAAAATACTGATTTGGAATAAAATTCTGCATCTGTGTATTCCTAAAAACACTTATTTAAAATCACCTGTGTATTTGGAAAAATACTGACTTGGAATCAACTCTGCACCTGTGTATTCCTGAAAATACTGATTTAAAATCAGCAGTGCATTTGTGAAAATACTGATTTAGAATCAACTCTGCACCTGGAATTAACTCTGCACCCGTGCATTTGTGAAAATACTGATTTGGAATCAAATTCTGCATCTGTGTATTGGTAAAAATACTGATTTAGAATCAACTCTGCACTGTACATTTGTGAAAATACTGATTTGGAATCAAATTCTGCATCTGTGTATTCCTGAAAACACTCATTTAAAATCACCTGTGTATTTGTGAAAATACTGATTTGGAATCAAATTCTGCACTTGTTTATTGGTAAAAATGCTGATTTAGATTAAAACTTTACACCTGTGTATTCCTGAAAATGTTGATTTAGATTAAAACTCTGTACCTGGAATCAACTCTGCACCTATGTACTCCTGAAAATACTGATTTAGAATCAAACTCTGCACCGGTGCATTTGTGAAAATACTGATTTAAAATTACCTGTGCATTTGTGAAAATACTGATTTAAAATCAACTCAGCACCGGTGTATTCCTGAAAATACCAACTTGGAAAATAATTGTTGGATGTGTGAAAGAAAAGGGTTTTTTTTAATGTGGAATTGGACAATATTCACGTGCCTTCAATTTGTTTTCCAGAACACCTGCACTGAGCTCAGCACAAAGGAGATGAGGTGCTCCCACAGAATGAAAACTGGGATCCTGTGATAAATTTGGGGTGCTGCTGGAGCCACCCCATCACTTGCCACAGCCCTGCTGCACTCTAGACTCATCCTGACTGCTGAATTTGGCACAGCAGCATCACACAGCCATGGGAGCAGGAACTGCTTTTCCACAGCTCCTGGGGGGCAGGATTTGCCCACAGCAATGGATCTTCCACTGGATCTTCCAGGGATGACAATCCCAGGGATGCCTCGCCCCAGCAGAGGGGAAGAGGATGTTCCCATACATAAATCACAGCCTTTCCAAGGCTCTTACACCAGGCTCAAATCTGCTCAGAAATATCCTTTTACCAGCAGGAGTTCTCAGGGAAGGGGAAAAGCAGCACCTCCTGTTTGCCAAAGGGAAAAACCCAACCCCACCACCTGGATCAGCTCACCAGGAGCTCACCTGTGTGCAGGTGATGGGCACAGCACCCAGCACAGAGCTGGGAGGTGTTTTGCAGCTCACTCCTCAGATAACAGAGCAGGGCTCATCCCCTCTGAGCCTTCCCCCATCCAACACCACCCAGAGCTGTGGGATGCAGACACAGCACCCAGCACAGAGCTGGGAGGTGTTTTGCAGCTCACTCCTCAGATAACAGAGCAGGGCTCATCCCCTCTGAGCCTTCCCCCATCCAACACCACCCAGAGCTGGTGGGATAAAGGCTGGATCTGTGCATTGCCCACAATTATCTCTGGAGGTTGGGTCCTTGAGCAAGAATTCCCTAAAGGAGCTTTGCATTGAGTTCTCCACCTCTTGTATTGCTTGGAATGACAGACACCCAGCATTCCCTGACCCTTCCTCAGCACTGCTTTAAAAACATTCAAATGCTGTGCACAAAGCCATCTTTTAACTGACAAAAGCATCTGAAAGGTAAATGATCCTCCCCAGTGCAAACAGGGAGGAGCAAATCCTTCCCCCGCTCCAGCTCCAATCCCTGATCCCAGCTGCACAATCTGGAGCTGGAAGGCTTTTGGCACTGATTCCATGTTGCTGGGCCTGGAAGTCAGGGAGGGGAGGATGTGTGTGCCTGGCTCATCAAGGGAGAAGTGCTCCCATTTCTTCCATGCACACTCAGTCTTTGAAAGCAAAAAGGCCACATTTGGTGCTTAACAGAACTTAAAGATTTGGGGTTTGGGGTGTTTTTTATAGCAGAAGAGCAGGAAAACAAGACAACAGGTTTTTACAGCTCTGATGCCACTCAGAGGCACAAAAATTGAAGCCCACGCCTTCTCACAACACCTTTTTTTTAAAAATATATTTTAAAATGTATTATTTAAATGGATTCAAATCCTTCTCCCACTGCTGATACTTACATTCCTGCTTGAAGGTGAAGTATTCTGTGAGGTGCCTGCACTCGTGGTTCCCTCGAAGGAGGAACAACGTTTTGGGATGATTTATCTTTAAACTCCATAAATACAGCACGCACTGCAAGAGAGGCAAACAGGGGATGTCAGAAAATCCTTTCCCAGGGCACTCATCAGCCTGAGACTGCACTAAGAGGTTCTGGGAAGACACCCAAAGTGGAACCCAGCTCCATAATGGGCAGTGGATCTTCTCCTGGCCAAGTGGGGAAAAGCCACCGGGATTTCTCTATATTAGGGCTGACTTGGAGAAGTGACAAATGAGGTCGTGGCCAACAGAAAGCAGCTCAGGACTGGGTGGGGGCAGCTTTGCTTCCAGCACAAACCAAAGGAAAAAAAACAACCCTTTTGTAGAGCAGCAAAGCAGAACCAGCTGTTTGCTCCAGATGTTCCACTGGGATGGAGACCAGCGGGAGGAGCAGGCAGACGTTTGTCCACAAAACACCCGGAAAATTCAACTTCACCTTCCCCACTGATTTCCCCCTCCCTGGTTTTTCTGCTTACACTACAGTCACGTGAAGTTCAAGCCCAAAACAGGAAAAGCAGAGCCCAAAAAACAAGCTTAGCTTAGCAAAGCTCTCTGGCTTTGAAAAGGCCTTTCCACATCCCCTCTGCGAGCAGCGGCACCTGCGAAACCGGCGCCTTTGATGAGGCTCAGACCAAAGCCAGGCTGAAACGGGGTTTTAGCAGAAATAGTTCCTGCTGGCTTCCCAAAAAAAGCCTGAGGGAAGGGCTGGGAGGGCTCACTCAGCCCGGGGTGCTCGGGGTTATCTCACACGGGGAAATGTTATCACACTGCTGCGAGCGCTGGAAGGACAATCCGTAAGGACAGCAAGCCCCAGGAGCTGGATTAAAGTCTCTCCCAGGAGCTTACCCTGGGGGCTGGCAGGCTGCAGGACACGCCTGGGAAACAGGAACCACCAGCAAGCCTGTTTGACACCCTCCAAAATTCCCAATCTGGGGCACAGATCCCCGGGAACCAGCTGGGAACAGCCTCCAGAACCCAAATGAAGCAGTTCCCAGTTGGTTCCAGCACAGCCAGCTCAGATCTGGTGGTGGTGAAGCACTGAAGCTGCAAGGTAAGCTCTGCATGAATCATCCCAGCTGATCCCAAAAACCCCGAGGAGCTGTAAAGCACCGCCTGTGTCTCACTTGGAATTCAACCCCACATTAACAACTTGATTAATTGGGAATTCCAAAAGAGAACGGGGCCAAGGCCAGTAGCAGAATCATGTTTTACTGCATCTGTTACCAGGAGGAATGCTCCCAACAAAACCATTTATAATTATTCTGGGATTTAAAGCTTTAACCTCCCTGTGTTTGCAAGAGAAATGTCACTTTTCTGGGCTGGCAGGAGAACTCTGAGGTTGCTATAAATGAACCAAATGACTTGGAGGAGAAGCAGCCCTGGCATCAAAGCAAGGCAGAGACACAGCATCAATAGGGGAGGGTTTGGGATGTATGGAAGGTTGGCAGCCTGCAGAAGAGAGATTTTAAAACACATTTGAAGGGGTTTAAAGTGAAATGGGGTTGAATTTGGCACCACAATTCTTCCTGGACATGCCAGGGATGTGGAGAGTGACCATTCCCTGAGGCTGGAGGCACTTCCCAAGGATGTGGGGACTGCCAGGTACCAGGAGGACACGGAGTAAAGGACACTGAAGAGCCCTCGAGGGCTCCAGGGGGGCTGGAATGAGGAATGAGGGAGTTTCTACACTTGCATGCCTCAGATGCTTCCTGGTGTTTTGCACAGATCCCTTTCCCAGGAATTGATTCCTGCCTGCTTGCAATAGCCAAGGAGCAAATCCAGGCAGTCACATCTTTTTGGGCTTAAATAATCTTAAATAATCTCCTTCTCTCCTTATTCTGCCTCTCAGTGTGAAGCCCAAAGCCAAGGGTTTGATCCACTTGGAAAGCTCAGCAGGACACAGGGAGGGAAGGAGGGAATTCCAAGAGGAACTGGGGCTTGCAACCCCAAAAATGCAAGAGGGGCTGGTGCCAAACCTGCCCCCACCATGACCTCTCTCATCATTCCCAAAATCTGGCATTTGTAAGGAAGTTTTACACACGGAGCCTGCCAGAGTGGGAACAGAGGCAAAACTCCCAAATCCAGCTCCACTCCCACTTCACAGGGCTGACTGGATCTCTTTAATACCATTCTGTATAAAAAGTGCATCAAATCAAGATTAACATATAATTCCATAATTAGACAGCAATCACGTGTCCTGTCATAATTGGATTGGAAGAACTGGCCTGGGAAAGGTGCATGCCATTACCACATCACTTTTCCTGATAAATTTCCTCTTTCCATGGATTCTGTTCCTGGTCAGAACAATTCACTAATTTAACAAAATCATTCTATTCATTGTATTCCAGCTTCATGGACTGGGATGGTCCTTCCCTACCACGAGCACAGATCTCCCTTGTGCCATTCTGGGATTTGGGGCTAAAAGCTGAATGAAAGGAACATTTTTCCCACTGGGAATCCTCCAGCAGGGCTCTGCCTCATCAGCATCTCCAACGGGGGAGTTCATGCTGATTTCCATGCTGCCTGTCAGCCCTGCACTCTGGAGCTGGGATCTGTGGCCAGTCAGGCTCGCTGTCACAGCGGGTTTGGGACAGCAAACCCTCCCAGAGTCCCCTTCCAGCAGCACTCCAGCTTTCACACGCTTCTTCCCTCCCCTCTCTCCTCACAACTCTTTTCTTAAAAAAAAACCAAACTAAACCATCAACCAATCCACTCTCCATGGCCTCATTATACTGGGAATTCATGTTTTTAAATGAGCATTTCCCTAAGCCAGAGGCCCAGCAAGGATTTGTTGAATGATTTGTTGCTGCCATCCAGCTGAGCTGATGAACTGAGAGGCCTGGGGGGGCTGGGGTCTGAAAGGTTTTGTCTGAGCCACAAATTCCTCCTTGTACCTGGACAACCAAACACCTGGAGCCACAGGGAACACCTGGAAGGGAAATCTGGCCCTTACACCTCCTTGGCCTCCAGTCTGGCATCGTTTCCTGCAATTAAACCACCCCCTCCTATTTCACTCTGCTAAAAGGTCACGGTTATGGAATCGTGGAATATCCTGAGCTGGAAGGAATCCACAGGGATCCCAAGGCCTGGCTGTGCCCAGGACAGCCCCAGCTGCTCAGACCATCTCCCCATGGAAGCCCAACTTGGTGTGGTGACTCACGAGGCTGCTGCTGCTCCCCACCTTCCCCGAGGTCACACCACAGGGAAAACCTGGATGTTTTTCCATCTGGGATACTCCAAACCTGCTGTTGTTTTACTACAGAAAGCAGATTTTGCACATCCAGGTGGGAATCTCTTTCCACCCAGGTGAAAGGGAAAGGTACATAGGAATGAAAACTTCTGGATTCTGCTTTATCCTGATGTTTGCAGTGTGTTTGCTGTGCCCATCAAAGCTCACCCTGAGCTGTGGGATCAGAGGGATTCTCCAGGGAAAATCCATTGCATTCCTGCTGCAACATGGGGGAAAGGCAAGGAGGAGAGGGAAAAGCAGCAGGAAATAAAAGATAAAACATCCTTTTTGTCCCACCATCTCAGTTCTCCAAGGCCATGCATTGTCTTGGAATTCTTCCATATTATCACAGGCAGAGAGGACAGGGGGGATTTGAACTAAAAGGGGATTTTGGGAAGAATTCCTTCCCTGTGAGGGTGAGGAGGCCCTGGCACAGGTTGCCCAGAGGAGCTGGGAAAGATTTCCTCATCCCTGGAAGCATCCAAGGCCAGGTTGGACAGGGCTTGGAGCAACCTGGGATAGTGGAGGGTGTCCCTGCCCAGGGCAGCGGGTGGAACAGGATGGGGTTTGAAGTTCTTTCCAACCCAAACTATTCCATTATTCTGTGATGATCCCAGCATGGAGAGACCAGGCTGCTGATCCCCAGCACTTCTGGAGATCTGAGAGCAAAAACCTCCATGTCAGATCAGTCCTGGGCTACGAGCAGGGAGGGGGAGCAGCACTTTTCCACCCTGATCCACACAATCCATACACACACACAGGGCCCAACACCTCTCATTTGAAGCATCGTGGGTTAACACCAAAAAAAAAATCCACCTTTTCTCTCAGAAGGAGCTGCTGCTCTGGAATATAATCCCTTTTCCAGGTGACCACTGCAAACCCAGAGGGACAGTGGGATGTGTCCTTCCCCTTCCTCCCTGGGGGGCTCTCCTGGCAGCAGCACCCCAAATCCCCCAGCTTGGACAGGGCTTGGAGCAACCTGGGATAGTGGAGGGTGTCCCTGCCCAGGGCAGCGGGTGGAACAGGATGGGATTTGAAGTTCTTTCCAACCCAAACCATTCCATTATTCTGTGATGATCCCAGCATGGAGAGACCAGGCTGCTGATCCCCAGCACTTCTGGAGATCTGAGAGCAAAAACCTCCATGTCAGATCAGTCCTGGGCTACGAGCAGGGAGGGGGAGCAGCACTTTTCCACCCTGATCCACACAATCCATACACACACACAGGGCCCAACACCTCTCATTTGAAGCATCGTGGGTTAACACCAAAAAAAAAATCCACCTTTTCTCTCAGAAGGAGCTGCTGCTCTGGAATATAATCCCTTTTCCAGGTGAACACTGCAGGGACAGTGGGATGTGTCCTTCCCCTTCCTCCCTGGGGGGCTCTCCTGGCAGCAGCACCCCAAATCCCCCAGCCCCAGCCCCAGCCCCAGCCCTGCCCCGGAAGCTGCTCCTTGTCACACCTTGGCTCCCTGTCAGCATTCCAGAGCGTGGGGCTGGAGGGGAGCCAGGGGCTGCTGCAGCTCAAGCTGTCAGCCCTGCTCTCCCTAAATCCTCTGCAGAATCCTTCAAAGAACCCCTCGCACTCTTCCCTGACAGCTCCTTCCCAAAATTTTCACTGGGGAAGATTCAGCTCGGCTGCTCCTGCAGCCTCTTTTTTTTCCAGGAGAAATCCCTCCCTCTGTTATTCCAGCTGATTTCTGCCACATTTCAGCCCCTGCTCCCCCAAAAGCTTTTCCTTACGTTGCTTCCAACTGGGAGAAGTGCTGCACTTCCACTCAGGCCTGCCTCTGTGAATCCAGATGGCTGCAATCCCTTGGGATTTGTGGCATTTGCTAAGAGCTGTCCCTTCCTGTCCCATCCCAGCTCTGCACTGAGCCAGCAGCAGCCACGGGGCTGCTCCCAGTCCTTTTGGGCTCCACTCCATCCTTTGTCCTCCCAGTTTCTTGGGCATGGAATCCCAGGGAGCTGCCACAGCCCAGGTGACTTCTGCTCCTCTCTCCTGACCCCATTCCAGGCTGCAGAGGGAAGCAGTGGCTCAGGCCCTTTCTCCTCCTGCTCCATCCTGAATCCTGCAGCTTTTCCAACATTTGCTTCCCCACTGCCTGGTGGGTCCTGTTGGAACCCTGGATGCTGAGAATTTTAAACTTTCTATGCTGAAAGGTACAGACTCACAAGAGAACTCTACATTTGACCTGAGGCTGTGGAAAAGACTTCCAAAATTAATTGATAACACTGAGATTACAGGTGTGGAGTTGGTTAGAAGTGTGTGACATCACAGAGTAGAAAACTTAAGAGTTTAAAGTTTTAGAATCTAGAAATAAATATAAAGCAAGATAAAAGTTTTAGGGCAGAGACAAGTTATTCTTTACCTTCTTCTTCATGGGTTTGGTATTTTGTAATTAGACAGAAAAGTCCACATTACAAGCTTTGAAAGATCAGGTACTAAGTTAAAAAGGAAAATAATCTAAGTGTCATTTCTTAATTAGACAGTTTAGTCTTAAAAGACCTTGTAACAAGAGTTAGCCATTTTGTGCCTTACTAATAAAAAGCTACAAAACTCAGAGTTGTAAGACTATTTCACTGATAAAAAATAATAAACACCTAAGCCCAAACATGAACCACCCCAACCTGCAGAACCCACAGGATCCTGCTGCCTGCAACAGCACCATCAAGTGTCCCTCTTGTGTCCCTGAGTGACAGCTCCAAGTGACATTAGAACCACCCCAGAGGGCAGAGGAGAGGCATTAACCCCATCACTGCCACTGCCTGGGGATCCAAAGGTGGGGACATCATGTTCCTGCCCAAAATCCCACTGGCAGTTATCAGCACTGCCTTCACCCCATGCAGAACTGCACTGGAGGGTAAATCCAGCATGAGAGATCTGGGTTGGGTGTTTGGGCTGACTCTCAGCTGGATTTGAACTCATTCTGGGCTCTATTTTACTGATTTGGAGCTGAATTTTACTGATTTGGAGCTGTATTTAATAGTTTCTGAGCTGTGCTTTATTGTGCTGCCTTTGAACTGATATGGAGCTGAATTTTAGTGATTCTGAGCTGAATTTTACTGATTCTGAGCTGAATTTTATTGAGCTACATTATAACTTATTCTGAATTGGATTTTACTGATTCTGAGCTGTATTTTACTGATTTGGAGCTGTGTTTAATTGATTCTGAGCTGTATTTTATTGAGCTACATTTGAATTCATTCTGAGCTGAATTTTACTGATTTGGATCTGTATTTGAGTGATTTTGAGCTGCATTTAATTGATTCTGAGCTGTATCTAACTGATTTTGAGTTGCCTTTTAGCTATTCTGAGAGGTATTAAACTGATTTGGGGTTGTATTTAACAGATTCTGAGTTGCACTTAATTGATTCTGATCTGAATTTTATTGATTCTGAGCTTAATTTGAACTGATTTTGAGCTGGTTTAAACTGATTCTGAGCTGTATTTTACTGAGCTGAATTTGAACTGATTCTGAGCTGAATTTTACTGTGCTGCATTTGAACTGATTTTGAGCTGCATTTTACTGATTCTGAGGTGTATTTCACTGAGCTGCATTTGAACTGATTCTGAGCTGAATTTTACTGATTTGGAGCTGTATTTTACTGATTTGGATCTGTATTTTATTGATTCTGAGCTGCATGTAAGTGATTCTAAGCGAAATTTTACTGATTTTGTGTTGTATTTTATTGACTCTGAGCTGCATTTTACTGGTTCTGAGCTGAATTTTAACTGATTCTGAGCTGAATTTGAACTGATTCTGAGCTGAATTTTACTGATTTGGAGCTGTATTTTACTGATTTGGAGCTGTATTTTATTGATTCTGAGCTGCATTTAATTGATTCTAAGTGGAATTTTACTGATTTTGAGCTGTATTTTATTGACTCTGAGCTGCATCTTACTGATTCTGACCTGAATTTCAGCTGGTTTTAACTGAAGTTCAACACTTTGGGTTCCTTTAGCCCCAGCACCCCCAAGCTCCACTTCCTTGGTCACCTCTATACTGAAGTAGCCTCTGTCCACGTAGTCCCCCAGGAAGAGGTAGCGGGTGTTATTGGGTGATCCTCCCACTTCAAACAGCTTCATCAGGTCAAAGAACTGCCCGTGGATGTCACCACACACTGGGGGAGGAAGAACAGCACAAAAGAGGGACAGAATTACCACGCTAAGAAAAGCAAGGTCACGACAGCAGCGAGGAGCAGAGCGAGCACCGGCAAAATCCTCTTCTTCTGAGAGCTCAGCAGAGTTAAAAAACCGTGGGTGGAAAGAACAGGGCAAAAAAAAAAACCAAAAAAACCCTGCTGGGGTTATCGAGGTTGTTATTCAGGAATTGAGCCACGAGCTCTGACCTGTGATTGGAGCCTCCACCTCGATCATGGTCTTCTCGTGCCTCAGGATGGCGGCGCCGTCGTTGATGATTTTCAGCGCCGCGTCCTCCTCCAGCCGCCCTTCCTTCACCAAGTGGCTCTTGAGGACGTCGAGCCTCGGTTTCCCATCCTCAAACACCTCCTTCAGAGTGAGCCGCTGCGTGGGAGGGAACGGGACAGCTGCAAAGGCAAGGGGAGGGAAGGAGTCAGCAACACGGCGACAGGGAACGACAGGCGTTGCTCCCGAGCCTCCAGCTGCCACCCAGAAATGGAATTCCCACTGAAATGATGCTCCCAAGGAGTGAGAGAAGAGTTGAGCTGCCAGAGCTGCTGGATTCACCCCTCAGCTTGGTTAAAATCCCTCTTGGTGCAGCCTAAATGCCACCTGTGGCTGTGCCAGAGCCACAATGCCCAGGGGACAGTCAGCGTTCGAAGCCAGAACAGATTCCATGGAAATACCAGCAAAAGCAGGAAAAGCAGCAACCAGTGAGCCAGGCAGGAGGATCAACAGGTAAAATATTTGCTTATCAGGAAATCACACAGCCCCAAAAAGCAGAATTTGCTTCCTTTCACCCCAATACGTCATAAAGCTTCACCCCCAAAAAGCAGAATTTGCTCCTCCCTGCCCCAGTACTCAAAAACCTTCACCCTCAAAAAGAATTTGCCCCTTTTCACCTCAATCCCAATATGTCATAAAGCTTCACCCTTGAAAAGCAGAATTTGCTCCTCCCTGCCCCAGTACTCAAAAACCTTCACCCTCAAAAAGAATTTGCCCCTTTTCACCTCAATACTTCAAAAAGCTTCACCCCCAAAAAGCTGAATTTGCCCTTCTCTGCCCCAAATACCTGAAGAAGTTTCACCTCCAAAAAGCAGAATTTGCTTCCCTTCACTCCAATACCTCAAAAAGCTTTATCCCCAAAAAGCAGAATTTTCCCTTCTCTGCCCCAATACCTCATAAAGCTTCACCCCCAGAAAGAATCTGCTGCTTTTCACCTCAATACTTCAAAAAGCTTCACCCCAAAAAGCAGAATTTGTCCTTCTCTGCCCCAATACCTCATAAAGCTTCACCCCCAGAAAGAATCTGCTGCTTTTCACCTCAATACTTCAAAAAGCTTCACCCCAAAAAGCAGAATTTGTCCTTCTCTGCCCCAATACCTCAAAAAGCTTCACCCCAGGCTTAGAAATTGGAAATCTTGATGGAATCCAATATTTAAGGTAAGTTAAGGATTGAATCCAATATTTAAGGTAAGTTAAGGCCTCAGCTATTTGCAGCATGTTCCTTAGTTTTTAACTCTGGATGGAAAATACCCCATCAAATACTGCTATATTGTTATTGTTACTATTATTATTATTATTATTATTATCATTCAGCACTATTTCATGGTAGGGAAGAGGATGGTGTGGGAGAATGTGACCTCTAGCAGAAATTAAGTAAAAAAAAAAAAAAAAAAAAAAAAAAACAGAAAAAAAGCAGAGTTTTCAGTAAAAATCTGAATTCCTCATCTCCCTTCTCCCAGGCCTGGCTAATTAAAAAAAGATGGGAGCATGCATGACCCTGGTGTAATATTTAATGGCTGTGTAGTGTCTTGAATTAAAATTAATTCCAGGAAGGAGGCCTGGATGTTTGGGAAGAACTGGGAATAAAACCCCAAGTGTGTGGCCTGGCTGCAATCCGTGCAGTGATGGGAATCTCATGCCAGGGATCTTCTCAGATCCTCCATGTGCTCCCCAAAGCAGTGAGAGCAGGATTTCCTCACCCTCTGGGGTTCTTCCAGCACCCCCTGGCCATGGTGGGACCAGAACGATTCCAGGCACAGCTGGGATGAGGAGGAGATGCTGGGATGGGGTTTGCTTTGGGATGCTGCACCCAGAGCTCAAGAAAAGCCTCTCACCTGTGCAGACCCCACAGGGAGCTGGCAGCACCCCCCAGCCTCGGGGACAAGGCACAAACCTCCCCCAAAATATGCTGGAAGCTCTGCAGGGATGGGGGCAGATGGAAACACCATCCCACCCTTACCTGGCACCCCCAAAATATCCCAAAATCTGGAATGCACCGGGGCTTTCACGGGGATTTGAGTCTGGGTGTGAGCAAGCACCTCCAAAACCCTCTGAGAGCCACTGGATAATGAACCATCCTTCCATCACTGTGCTTCTCCTGGGAGTGTGGAAGGCAGAGTCACACCCCCAGGAAAATACCTGGGATGTAAATCAAACCTGTGGGGTGCAAACCAAACCCCTGGATGTAAATCAAACCCCTGGATCAAACCAAACCCCTGGATGCAAATCAAACCTCTGGATGCAACTCAAACCTCTGGATGTAAATCAAACCCCTGGATGCAAATCAAACCCCTGGATGCAAATCAAACCCCTGGATGCAAATCAAACCCCTGGATGCAAATCAAACCCCTGGATGGAAATCAAACCCCTGTCCTCATCCATCACCCAGCAAAGACCGGTGAGGCCACACCTTGAGGGCTCTGTCCAGTTCTGGGAGCCTCACTGAGGGCTGGAGTGAATCAGAGAAGGGAACAGAGCTGGGGAAGGGGCACCAGGAGAGGCTGAAGGAGCTGGAAACACCTCAAACAGCTGCAACCCCATAAAGCAGAACTTGCCCCTCTCTGCCCGAATACCTCAAAAAGCCTCACCCCCAAAAAGCAGAATTTGCTTTCCTTCACCTCAATACCTCATTCCAGGCACAAGAATGTGACTGGAGGAGAGGGTTTTGTAGCAAAAAGAGTGTGTTTTGTGTATCAAAACCAGTGTGGTGGCAGCTGCAGAAGGGCAGGGATTGTCCCTGTGCTGGGCTGTGCCCACTTCTGGTCCCTCACTGAGACTTGGAGGGGCTGGAGTGAATCCAGGGCAGGGAACAGAGCTGGGATGGGGCTGGAGCCCCAGGAGGGGCTGAGGGGGCTGGGAAGGGGCTCAGCCTGGAGAAAAGGAGCTCAGGGGGGACCTTGTGGCTCTGCACAGCTCCTGCCAGGAGGGGACAGCCGAGGGGATTTGGGATCTTATCCCAGGGACAGGAGCAGAGGGAACGGCCTCAGGCCGTGCCAGGTTGGACTTCAGCAGGAATTTCTTCCTGGAAAGGGCTGTTAAATATAGGAAGGGATTGCCCAGGGAGTGCCCACCCTGGGGGTGTCCAAGGAACACCTGGAAGTGGCACTCAGCACTCTGGGCTGGTGACAAGGTGGGCACTGGGCACAGCTTGGACCTGGTGATCCTGGAGCTCTCTTCCAACCTGAAGGAGCCCGTGAGACACTAAAATATTGAATTGTGAATTTTCCAGGACAGAGCTGGCCAAATAACACAGGGAGAAGAGCGGCGGCTCCCTTTTAAATGCAAATCCAGCAGCAATTTACCCTGAAAACCCCCAAGAGGAAAGGCAGAGAGGCGGCACAAGAGATTCTTTACGGCTGAACATCAATTTTCAAATCACAGAACTGCAGGAGTGGCTCTAATGAAAGGGGAGCTGGTGCCGGCAAGGAGGTGGCCCCGCTTCCATCGATCCCTTTGGAAGTTGTGCTCTGTGTCCCACGTGCCTGGAACACTCCTGAGCCTTCCCACCAAGCTGACAATGAAACCAGACCTGCTTAAACCAACACGGGCTGGAGCAGGGCTTTTTCTGCATCCACTGCTCAGCTCTGCTTCAAAAGGAAAAAAAAAAAAAATACCTTTTTGGAGATGGATGAAAAAATAATTTTGAAGGATTTTTTGGCTCTGGGTCACTGCAGGGTTGGCAGAGCTGGGGGAGGAAATGAGGGAAGATGTGGGGCTGGCACCAACAGGATCAGCTGGCATGAGGGAGGGCAAAAGGAAGGAAAAAGGTGGAAATGCAAGTCCAGGACTTGGAATGAGGGATTTTTTGGGACACTGAGAGGCTGGAAAATGATTTGTAAGTGTTACAAACCTTGGGTTGTTCTGGCATCTGACTCCAAAGGGAGCCAGGGAGCACTTGGAGGGCAAATGATTTACAAGGAAGAGAAGAGGGAAATAGAAACCCTTCACCTCCACACTCCCCAGACTCCAGCATGGCCAGCTCCTCTGGAGCCACACCAAGGGAGTGAGAAGCCCCAGAAGTGGGGTTGGAGAGCTCAGCAAAGGTGGGATGTGACCCCAGGACAGCACTGCCCATCCAGAGAGCCAGGGAAGCTCCTGCCTTTGCCTCTTCCTGGTGGCCCCAGTGAGCAAAGTTATGCAAGATCAAACCTGAGGCTCCAGCCAAGAACTTTTATGTAAGTTCCCTCCTTGGCTTTGCACAGCTCTGCTCCCACAAGGAGCTGGGCACCACCAGGAACCTCCTTGGCTCTGCCAGGGGTTCAGCCACCCCACTTTAATTAAAATACCTCGATTTTATCCTTCTCCATGCTCCATTCTCTTGGACAGGAGGGAGAGGATGCTCCTGCAGCCAGGCAGGGCTCTCCAACAGTGGGAACAGCCCTGAGAGCAGCCTGACCTGGAATTTTGTACCTCCAGGGCACTGAGAAGGGTGGAGAGACTCACCCAGTTCCTGCTCCTGTCTGAAAAATGAGGAGATAAGTCCTTATCTCACACACACAGAAAAAAAACCCAGAGCTGTGGAATGGCTTGGGATGGAAAGAGCATCCACTCTCCCAGGTTGCTCCAAGCCCCATCCAACCTTCCAGGGACACTTCCATGGATCCAGGGCAGCCACAGCTCCTCAGGGAATTCCATCCCAGCCCTCCCCACCCTCACAGGGAAGAATTCCTTCTCTACACCCACCCTAAATTTCCCCTTTCAGCTCAAATCCATTCTCCTGTCACTGCAATTCCATGGCTGGTCCTGGTTAAGCTCATTCTCAGAGCCAGCCACCAATTAATTAATGAAAATGATGAATAAACCACTCCCAGCATTCCAAGAATGAAACCCTGTGACCTCTGTGCCACCTTCTCTCCGCACACAAAGCCGGGTGTTGCACCCAGTCTTGTTTGAACAGTGAAATCTGCAGGGCTGGGGTTGATAAATCCTCCAAGGGCATCCAAACCCACGGCCAGGAAAAGGCAATTCCTGCCCCACCAACAGGACACGTGCTGAGGGCCAACCCACAACAAAAGGACACAAAAGCAAGCAAAGTTTGAGGTGTGAAATGGATTTAAAAAAGGTCAGGTGTGCCCAAGGGAAAAGGAAAAGGAAATTAAAAGGAAAATCAAAGGGATCTCTTTGCTGGACTCCAGGGCAAGATTCCATTTCCTGCCAAATTAACACAGATTTTATTTGCCAGGCCACGAGCAAAGGGGGTATTTGCAACACTCTGAGAGGACATGGATAGTTCAGAATGAAAGAATTTGGGGGAAAGCTGCTTTTCCAGCACCAGCAACGTTCATCCCCGAGTGCCACACAAAAATCCCACAGGAAAAAAAAAAATCCCATTCCTCCCTACCTCTGTCCTTAAAATGCACCTTAAAATTGAGCTTCATCAAGGCTGCCCCATCCCCACCTCCAGGCAGAGCAACCAGTGATCCACAAATGATTGTTTATACATCCCAGAGTCCCTTGGATGGCTGCAGGGAGCAGCTGAGGCGGATTCATTACTGAAAAAGGAGCAGGAGCTCCGTGCCTGCAGTGCCAGTGCTGGCCAGACGCTGCTCCCGGGGGCTGCAGGGAAAAGGGATCCCCTCAATCCCCCCAAAATAACCCCACAGGATCCGATATTCACCACAACAAACTCCTGCTGCACATCTGGGAGGGAATCCAAACAAAGCCCCTTCCCTGCTTCTCCTCAGCACGCAGCAGATGGTGAGAGATGCACTTTGCAGCAAAAAAAAAAGCACATTTTGGGGTAAACCCCAGGATTTGGACACTGAGGAAGCTGGATGGGCTGGCAAAGGTAGAAACATTCCCAGGAAAAGTCCACCCAAACCCCTGTGAAAGGGAGAAGAAGCTCCAGGGCTGAGCTGGGCACAGCACGAGCAGCAGGGTGGGGTTTTTTTTTTTCCCCCCCTCTTTCCCAATTTCTAAACAGTCCAATGTTATTTTTATCCCAGATTTTATTCCCATTCACACCTAACCTACATTCATCTATTCAAAGCTGAGTCTGGGGCTCGGAGGGAATCATGTGCAGAAATCCAGCACAGCAAGGCCACAGAAATGGCATTTTTTTTTGCTGGGAAAAAGGCAAACAGTCCAATGTTATTTTTATCCCGGATTTTATTCCCATTCACACCTAACCTACATTCATCTATTCAAAGCTGAGTCTGGGGCTCGGAGGGAATCATGTGCAGAAATCCAGCACAGCAAGGCCACAGAAATGGCATTTTTTTTTGCTGGGAAAAAGGTGGATTTTCAGCTTTCAGAGTCACTAACAGGGAACAAACCCTTGGAGGCAGGGGATGGATGTCACTGTCACTCCAGCCACCCTGCTTTTCCTGCTGCTCCATCCCAGCTGCACAACAAAAGCAAGGACAGGCTGGATCTCAGCAGCTGGGAGGTGCTGGAATCCCAGAATTATCCAGCTTGGAAAAGCCCTCCAAGGTCATCAGTTCCAATCTGTGACCAATCCCCAGCTCAGAGCACTGAGTGCCAGGCCCAGGCATTCCTTGGAAACCTCCAGGGATGGGAATTCCACCACCTCCCAACGCCTGACCACCCTACATATCAGCAACCATCCTATTTTCCTTGGAATAACCTTCCTTCTTCCCAAAATGATTAAACTACACGAATTTCTGGTCATAAAAACACAAAATTGTCTTTGCTTTAAGAATCCCCACCCTGGTTTCTGGGAGGTTTTTCCTCCCCTGAGGTGCCCTGCTGTGAGAACCTGCAGAACCAGGTGTGTGTGAGCTCGATATCCTGATTTTTCCAAGCTTGGATCAAGCCCTGACAAATAATCTGTGTCATTTTCCAGGGCTGGCACAGGCAGCCTGACCCTGCCATGGCACAGAACTGTTCGTTCCAGCTGCAGGAACTCTGTGGAAAAAAAAAAAGGCAAAAAAAAAAAAAGCTTCATCACCTTCCACCTGAGGAAATAATTAACTTCTCCCTTATTAAAATAAACATGAATGCCAAAGAAAAATCTCCAAATAGAGTAAATACCTTCTTGTATAAAAGGAGCAAGAGCCAGGAATTATTATTATAATATTATTATTGCCATTTCCATCTGTTTTCCCCCAAATTTTTGCATGTTCCAATCCTTTTTTGCTCTGGGTGAGGAACCTCCAGATTTCAGAAGCTCCAGAGACTCCCAAATAGAGGGGAAATAAAAAATTCCAGAGTGCTGCTTCTCAGCCCTGGAAGTGCTGCAGGAAGACCCTGAGATTTGGGGTTATCTGAATTCCTCTGGAACAGCAGCTCCTTTGAATGGATGGAGTTTATAACGTCCCAGTTTTATCCAGAACTCCTCGGAGCTGAATCCGACCTCCCAGGGTGCTTCTGCTTTGGAGAGCTGGCTCTGATCCTCACCTGCAGCCACGGATTCCTTTTTGTAGGACAACCAGAATTATCTCCTCACAATAACCCTAAAAATACCTGCATTGTAGGAGCTGAATGAATGATTTCTTGGAAGGGGACAGTCACAGCCAGCCCGAAGCAGAGCTGGGATGAAGCAGCGGAGCCGTTCCCAGCGGCAGATCTGTCCCTGCCTCACCAACTCCCAGGAGTAACACCCAAAATTTGAGGCCACGCTGGGAGAAGCTGGCAGGCCCCGGGGCTGAGCAAGAGCCAGGTGCATTTAAGGCTAAAAAAAGCAGGTGACAGCTCTGTGTATGGAAATGCAAACACAAAGAGAGCGCAGCCCCGGCCGCGCTCACGGCTCCCACGGAAACACGGGACACCGAGCCAAGAGGCTCAAAACCCACACAGACCTAGGCCCAGCCAGGCATCTCCAAGGAAATATCACACAATCACAGAATGGTTTGGCTGGGAAGGGACCTTCAAGATGGACTTGGCCTCTTCCAGGATGGGGCAGGCACAGATTTTCTGGGAAAAGCATCCCAGTGCCTCGCCACCCTCAGAGGGAAGAACCAGACTCTGCAACCTCACAGCTCCCTGAACTGTGCTCACTGCTCCTCAAACCTTTGGGGTAGCAGGTGATTGTCCTGGTTCTGCTGGGAATTTGGCCAGTGAACAGGGAGGCCAGGACCAACCAAGGTGCCTTTGCTGAGGAGGATTCCCCAGCAGAGCTGAGGGCCAAGGCGTTGCGCTGGCTGCCGATTGCAGAGGTGCTGGTGATGGTCCCACGAGGTGGAGCTGGAACTCTGCTCCTGCTGGAGCCGGGCACGATTAAACCCAGGAGGGGTTAATTAGAGCAGAGGCGACTTAAGCCACAGCAGGCACCAGCTCCCAGGCAGCAGAGCTGCTCACAAAGCCCTCCTGGCATGGCAGCCAGGGCTCCTCACACCCCACATCCCGCCCTGACTCTGGGTCCGTGGTGTTGGTCTGGCTCCTGCCCCCACCAAGATCAGAAACCTCAAAAATACTCTCAGTGGGCACCCTCAGGCTCCCTGGAGTGCTAAAATCCACATTTGCTCGCAAGGCCCATCAAGTTTCCAGCTCAGATTTGGCTCCTGATGAGCGGCACTGATGCGGATTTTCCTGGGATTGTCATTGAGCCAATCAGTCCAGAGCTGAGTCCTCTGCCAGGGATGTGGGCTCGGGACATCACCGAGTGCCAGCTCACCAAGCAGAGCCCAAAACCCTCCAATTCCAGCCTGGAAGTCCTCTCTCTTTGAGACCCTCCAGCTTTACAAACTTTCCAGAGCTTAAAAATCAATGTATTCCCAGAAAATCAGCACTTGACAAACCTGGAGTCTCACTCTCATCAGTGGGATTCCAGGGAGCTGCTGCAAAGCCTGAGGAAAAAAGGAAAAAAGGAGGAGGAAAAAAGAAGGATGAGGAAAAAGGAAACGGAAAGGAGGAGGAAAAAGGAAAAAGAAGGAGGAAAAAGGAGGAGGAAAAAGGAGGAGGAAAAAGGAGGAGGAGGAAAATAAGGAGGAAGAAAAAAGGAGAAGGAGGAAAACAAGGAGGAGGAAAAAGGCAAAAGAAGGAGGAAAAGGTGGAGGAAAAGGAGGAGGAAAAGGAGGAGGAAGAGAGGAGGAAAAGGAGGAGGAAAAGGAGGAGGAAAAGGAGGAAGTTTAGAGCAAACAGCTGCAGCAACTTAAAAAAAAAAAGTGAGCTCCCCAAAGGAGCAGGGAGGGGATTCCTAGATGTCAGCAGGCAGGGAAATTCACCACCTGTTTGCCAAGGTTCCAGCTCGGCCACTAATAGCTCATTAATGGAGGCACAGCAGGGGTTTTGTGGAAAAGGCAAATCCCGGGAATGTGAACCCGACCCTGCCACGGCTCCCGAGGGGCTTCTGGATCCCATTTCCAAGAACAAGGAGGAGGAAAAAAGCAAGAGAAGGAGGAAAAGGAGGAGGAAGAGAGGAGGAAAAGGAGGAGGAAAAGGAGGAGGAAAAGGAGGAGGAAAAGGAGGAGGAAAAGGAGGAGGAAGAGAGGAGGAAAAGGAGGAGGAAAAGGAGGAGGAAAAGGAGGAAGTTTAGAGCAAACAGCTGCAGCAACTTAAAAAAAAAAAGTGAGCTCCCCAAAGGAGCAGGGAGGGGATTCCTAGATGTCAGCAGGCAGGGAAATTCACCACCTGTTTGCCAAGGTTCCAGCTCGGCCACTAATAGCTCATTAATGGAGGCACAGCAGGGGTTTTGTGGAAAAGGCAAATCCCGGGAATGTGAACCCGACCCTGCCACGGCTCCCGAGGGGCTTCTGGATCCCATTTCCAAGCTGCTCTAAGCAAACACAGCTCTGTGTCCTCCCAGGATGTCGCTCCAGGGAACAGGCTGATCCACGTGGGAATCCTGGACACAGAAACCCCCAGAAATATTCCTGCTGGAGCA